ATTGAAAGAAAGTTCAAAACATTATGACAATTTGACAAAGACAATGCCACGCAAGCCGCTATAGCCTACAGCTATTTCAATTAAGGTTGTCCACGAGGAAAGCGGAAAAGTCGAATACGAGCGCGAAAGGCTGCTGGGAATCGCTAACAAATTAATGAATTTTCAACGCGATTCCCAGCAGCCATTCGCGCTCGTATTCAGTCGACTTTTCCGCTTTGCTCGTGGACAACCTTAATTGAAATAGCTGTGTACAATAGAGTGCGGATATCGAATGTCATGTATACACTCTATATTTTTTTTTCTCGATTACAAAGTCAAAGAAATAAGTTCAAAATGGAGGATCTATTTGAGGGATATCGGCGGGAACAGGTGGAATCATAATCGTCATCTGCGATTCAAATGTTGCATAATAATAAACTAAACGAACATTCTTATATATATTAATAAAATGATGGAATACTATTAAACGGCACGATATGTGTGTCGTTTCGTGAAATATATTGCTTGTTCTTAAATTTTCACCGTGAACTGTGAAAAGTTAGCACAACGCGACACAAATAGAGAGACATACGATTGCAGTTATAGTCCACAAAATGTGAGAACTGCTAAAAATGCATGAATCGTCCGCTTTTGGCTTAAAAACAGCAATTCTTTCCAATTCGTTACGTTATACGTTATAAAGATCATATGCTCTGAAATACGAGTAGGCGATTGGCGAACCCTAGCTCCACGTAAATTCTCATTGAGCATTCAGTTTCGTTGAACATAACAGCTCAGTCAGCACCGACGAATTTGATTTTTTGAAAGACTTACTCTCGCTCTGCCGCTACCGAGGGCTAAATTGATTTGTTACATCCCTTGCCGGCCTCTATGGAGTCATTTAAATTGTAAACACTAACTGCGTCCCCATGCGGAGGGTAAGTGGTATTGTAATTAAATGTTTGCTAGATAGGAATTTATTAGTGAAATAATATTTTTGGCAAGAAGACGTACAGTGGAACAGACGACCACGTGAGCTTATACAGTACACAAATGTGTATAACGAGGCTATTAGAATAATAAATGTTTATTGTTATGCTGTGTCATGTTATGAGTAAGTTTATGCAAATTGAAGGGTGGATGGCCTTCCGTATTCAAAGAGGCGTAAACTAAAATGTAAAGGGTAAACTGAATTTAAATATTGGTCTCAACCGAAACACAATTAGCAATGCAGAATTAAGGGCGAGCTTCGCCGCTTCGTTTTGTTCTCCGTCAAACTCAATCAATTGCAACTCCATATAGATTCCAGACTTCAGAGTTTTATAATGTCTTTGAGACTGACCTCAACCAGGCTAGATTTAACCACCATGTGCGTTGAAACCGCCACAGAAAGTCACAATTTAATACCGACAAGGTTATACGCATGTAACTGCCGCCGAGCCAGCTAGGTTATTATCATGAACTCATGAAGCGAAAGGTCGCGTTCAAATGACTTGCTTATATCGTAGTTTAGCTAATACTTTCCCATGAGCAGGTCACAACTCATTTTAGTCTAAGGCAGCGTTTACACTGTACCGTTTTCGTAGCGTTCTCGTATTGTTCTTAATCCTCAAGGGAACGCAAGACAATAGTCTAGTTCTCTCGAACAATACGAGAACGCTACGAAAACGGTACAGTGTAAACGCTGTCTTAGTTATATTCAACATATTCGTTCCGAACGGAATACTTATACGGACTTTACTAAGCTAGTACAAAAAGTATCAAATTGTTCGGCACCAACCGACGAACAACAAGATTGCGAATTATTGAATACAGTGGGCATAGAACAAATACATTACCGAATATGTCTTCGGCTTCGCTTGGTTTTGCGGCGCATGGCTTCTGCTTGGCGTTGTTTTCGGCCTCTTTGTCTTGTCCTAGACGACTAGATTGATTATTCTGGATCACCTATAGACTTGAGCTTCGCCATAAGGCCACGCCCGCGCGGGCAAAGCGAACGTTAATGAAACGGCCTTATTGGCCAGAAAATGTCGTTGTCTGGGTAGGAAAATGGCGGCCAACATGCGTAATGCGACATGCTCGAGGCCGTTCTGTATGGATCTTTATTCTGTGAAACTGCCCTGAACTATTGAGATCCCCTTGTTTTATATAGCCAACGTTACGCATGATTGCACTTAGGGAATGTACATTTATTACGCCGAGGGGATGTTAAAGGGGCATCGAAATATTTTCTGGCATTAAAGGGGGGCTCTGAAAGTTCTCGATATACTGAAGGGGGGCTCTAAACTTTTCAAAGTTTTGGTCCAGCAGGGGCCTGGAGTGCATGTTCACTCCCACCATAGTTAAAGATGCGGTACAGTCCGTATGTAAACGAAGGCTTTGTTTAAATTTCGGTATCCAAAATATTGAATTTTATTCAACAACTATTTATATTTTCATGATTCTAGAGTATAATAAATCATATGAAGACACAACAATTAAGCTTTGCAAGAACATAAAATGAAATAAAACCCTAAATAAACTGTTTGTAAATAAAAAGAGGGCTCCTTTGTGCCCATGCGCAGATCGGACTGTATCGCATCTTTAATAGAATAGATGGTTTGGAAACTGATTACTAGAATAACAATATAACTCATTACCTATGTTAGTGAACAATAACATTCATAGATCTGGTCTTTTACCGTCACGCGAGTATTGTATTTTTGCCCGACTAACCAAAAGCAATGTTTTAGGAAAGTTACCTATCCATGACTCGAACAATATATAGGGTAAATTGAAAATTGCTATTGGTGGACATGGCACAAATATAATACATACGTGACGGCGAAAGAATATATTTATGAATAAACGTTGACTAACATTGATAATGAGTTATATTGCTATTCCAATGATTTCCAAAATGTCTATTCTATATTAACTGGCATGGGGGAGCTCCACATGGAATACGTAAAAGAAGGCTGCAACACGCCTATCAAAAATGCATATGCAAAAGCACCAATACGCTTCAACTTCTGAAATTTTCATTCTGTTTCTACCAAATTTTCCATGAATATAGAACATATCGTTCTTACAAATCGTATTTTTTTGTTTTTGGAATTGCTACTTTTTGGCGGGTAAATTACGTCACAAACATGGCGCCAAAGAAATGAAATAAGCAAATCAAAAATGTAAACATTTTCTGGGGGGGACCCAGACCCCCCTTTTCTCCAAAACTTAGTATGAGAGTGCCAATCAATCACAAAAAGCTTTATTATAATTATTACACATATAATCCTCCGACATCCCCCCCCCCCCAAACGTCAGATGCTTCGCTACGTCCCTGATGGTTGTATTCGAAACCGATTTCAGTTTTAAGATATCCTTATTCTGCTTTTCTAAATGGATACATGAAATCACCTATAGCTTATTTTAAATTTTTTGGCGCCAGGTTTGTGAAGTAATTTACCCGCCAAAAAGTAGCGCAGCAGTTCCAAAAACAAAAAAAGCATACGATTTGTAAGAATGATATGTTCTATGTTCATGGGATTATTTAGTACAAACGAGATGAAAAGTAAAGAAATTGAAGCATACTGGCGCTTTTGCATGCATTTTGACAGGCATGCAAAGACATGTGGGGACGACGTTCTCTAAGGTTCCAGCTCATTACCCTGATCCAGGAAATCCCGGCCACTACATGAACGTGTTCAAGACTCAGACTATACGCTGAATGACGGACAACAACAACCGTTTGATAATTTCACCCCTAGAGCCAATCTAAAATGTTTTTTTAAAGACGGTGCCATTTCATGGTCAGCAGGTCGGTATTTTTGTTGAGGAGAAGCACATGCTTGAGTATATCAGACATCTTGAGGAACTGCAAATTGTATCTATGATAAGAGAGAATTTGGTTTCCGAATTCTGGGGGGGGGCATTGAAAATTTTAAAAACTTGGAGGGGGGCATCTAAAATTTACCAATAACCTCAACAGGAGCCCTGTAAAAATATGAGCTTTTTTCAAGGGGTTTCTGCATGCAATGCATGTATTTTCTAGTGTGTACGATAACTCTGAACAGCTCTTGTCAGATTTAATGTTATACCAGTTCCAGAAAATAGTTCATCTTCGGTGCCTGATTGAGGCAAGGAGCGACCTTTTTAACAGGTTAGTCCTCTCTTATATACCCCAGTTATCGGCAAACAATATTCCTGATCTTGTCCTTGACAGTGGTGATTTAATTTGAACAAAGCCTTTGTTCGATAGAGATGAATTTGAAGAGACATGTTATGAACTATATGTCAGATATTAAGAAAAATTCGAAAGTATTGTTAAACTTTTACAATACATGATGTGATGTGTTTCAAAATATCAGCGTAGAAGAAACAGTCCAACAAGACACTTAGAGATATAAAACAAGGCATTTCTTGTCAAATAATTGGAGAAGCAAAATAATAATGTACTGTAGTCAGTTTGTTGTAAAATTGCCTTGAATAATATGGAAACGAGATATGGAGCGTGAGAAAATAATGACAAGTAAAGAGGATATGAAGTGTTTTGCATGAAGATATCGATATCAGGCCTAAATTTTGGCGTAGAACTATAATTAAACTATATTATTATTCCCGTTGTTGTGTTTGTGTATATTCAATTTAAATATAGTGTGGAAATTTTATAAAAGCCTTTGTTCTTTTGGGAGGGCGGACTGTGACGTTTTGATGAAGCAATCGTCAATGGCGTCATCACGTGTCGAATCGTTCAACCATATCATGCAGTGTCTTTTTAAGGAATTTTCCCTGGGAGAACAATTTGAAGCTTGGTCAAGGCTGGCCCAAAGTTAGCTCGAGATATATTGTACCATGTACGGACTACCTATAAACCTACGTTCATATTTCAACCAGCTAGCGGTTCATTTTTACCGAAAAAACGTCTCCAAATTAACATCCTTGTAATCCTAAACTAAACCTAATTTTAACTTCAACTCTAGCTAGCTCTCATCCCAACATGCACACGCTAATTGTTACGATATTAATCATTGGACATAGCAATGTTCGTGCTTCACTTGATATTTTTAATTTAATCTACTTTCCCCACTTTTAATTTTACACGTTTATCATGTGCATGCGTATAGACAGTAATGTCTTTCGTACTATTTTCTTAAGATAACAGTAAATTACAATATTCAATAAACCCATAATTATAGAAATTGAATCAAACTAAGTCCAAATTTTAAAAATGCAGCAGCTATTTCAAGTGTAAAGGCTGCCTTTTGGAGTGCTGATAAAGAAAAAAAATAGCGTATCTCTTCATTATTTCCATGGCATGCATGACTAAATTTCTCCACCAAATTATGCCTGTACCTGAACGACCAAATAGCCGCTTTATCGGACGCAACTTAGAAGTACAATACCAAATCTTCTTGCACACAGTTTCATCAAACACCAGTTTATGTAATTCACCCTTTGGAAAGGTATCCAGTCTTGGTCATTGAGACTCGTTTTTGGTGTTGAGATATTCTGCTTTGAATAGAGCCGTTTATATATCTTGTCAGTGATAGTTGAATCATTTATAATATTTAACATAACTGTTACGGTATTGACATGTAACAAGATAAAGGGCTCTAAACCCATGAATATTTCAATCACGACAACGAGGTTGTATGGTTAAGGCTGAACACCTTCCTGGAGGGTTATATTAAGAGCAATACCCAAGTTCTGTAAACGTAACGATCAGGTATAGATGACCCAGAAATGTCCAGAAACAGACTTTGAGACATGAATGAGCGAAGTCAGGTCAATGAATGGTCAAAAAATTTACGTTAATTTACAAAAGAAATTTAAAAGGAGAAGGGCGTTTTAGTTTGTTTTGGAATTTGGATTAGAGACAAGCAACATTTTTCTCTATAGCACAACACGCACGATCTTTTTAGTTCCTGAGACCAAAGATGGCTCGTCGTTCACCTCGGACCACAAGCCTTCCTTTTTGATTACGATTACTGAAGTTGTTATTCCTTGTACACATGTAGTAATATGTACCCGGCGAAAACCTCAGTAACATACCACGATACGATGCGGGAGCGTTGTTTAATAAATCATTAAATTCTTGTTTCTTTGGTGAAGCCTTGCAAAGCGTCATACTGTTGTAGTAGCCCGAGGACGCCATGCTTAGAATAAGATCCTCTTTGGTCTTCGTCTCTTTATCACTGGACCAGACGATTTCAGCATGAGGAAACATAGTTAATGGTTGTTCAGAGGTAACAGGATAGTTCACAGAAGGATCGTTCATTTCCACCATGTTGTTCCGATCAGTACCTACATTAGAAATCATATATATTCAACCACAATAATATATTACTTCGTTTCATTAACATTCAATACACCCTTTCGATAATTATGTCACACATACTTTTTGGTCTTGGAGCCTTGCTCTCGTTAGTAAATTACGCCAGGTGATTAGCTCACGATTCATGAGAGCGAGGTTCCCAGGCCAAATGACGTAATTATCGAACGGGTGTATTAATATTCAACACACGTCAGCATGTGCAATCTACGCATGCAATTTCTGGCCGCAATTTCTGATCGTGCCAGGCCATGCAATCGCTAATGCAGCACCGCATGCAGGGACTGGGCCCAAGGAAATGCCTAAAATGAACATGAGGGAGGTTTTCCGAAAAGGTACAAAATTTAAAATCAAACTAAGTTTGCTTCTATATTTTTATTTAGGGTTAGAATTGGAGTTAGGTTTATGGTTAAGATTTAGAGAGTAGGCTAGGTTTGGGATTGTGCTAAACTTATAAGTGCATGGTTGTTAATTCTTTCGCGTTTTAGCGATCTTGAAACATTTTAGCCGCCATCTTCAAAACTCGCCTCTCGTCCATCCCATGCACTTAACAAAGACCCTGGGGTCAATAATAAAATACTCTCTGGTATTTATAAATTAAAGTTCCGCTTTTGTTATGAATACAAGCGATAAAAGCCTGGACAAAACAGTCACAGTTGTCTGAATTTGGGCGTCGAGATGGCGTCGAGTGGAACGGACAGAAGCTATGAAAAGTGATTGAGAAGGCGAAGAAAAGGACGACGGCAAATTAGGCAGAGGACAATGACCAAAAGGCAAAAATTGTTCTTGTTGCCGAATTTGACTCCTCACACTCCTCTTAATCGAAAAATTAAATGGGTTTTGGTCAATAAAATCATTGAGGTCTTGGTCAATAAAATCATTGAGGAAGAATAAAATAGCAATACCTATCTCAGGTATGTTTACCTATAGTTTTGTAATAAGTTAATAACTAACACCTCACATGTTCTAATGGCATGTATAACCAACGTTGAAATATATCGACTGGAAACCGGCCCGTGTAGTCAGTAGCGCAAAATATGCTTCGCGTGCCCAAATGGGACAGACATAAGCCCATTAGAGTATTTACGTCTAGCGTAAACGAGCAATTAAAGCCCTCCTCTTTTCCTAACCATGTTACCCGAAAAAGGCAGGACTGCCTCATGATTAACCCGTGACGGTCTCCAGGTTTTAAAACTGAACTCTAGATCTCACAGGCGAACTTAAAAATCTCACGTTATTTCAGGAAAATAATTTTTTATTGAGGAACTAATAAATCGTTGAATTCAAGGAATACGTTTTACGACTGCCTCTTCCGCTATGCTTCTCTGATTCTTCCAAATCCGATGAAAAATTGTCAGAGAAGCGGAGATACTGAACTAAGAAACAAGTATGTCCTAAAAGCGTTTGCCTTCCAATGCTATGCAACTTTCTAGTGCAGGAAATAGCATTCTAAAAATAAGGACCATATAAAACAGAATTGTTTGGATACATGGGAGTACTGTATGCCATTGAATAATTCCTCGATGATCATGTTCCCCCAATTCTGTTTATACTGGCCTCGCTGCGAATACAACCAGATATTTCTTCAAAAAGTGATTCCATAAATGTTTTACAGACGTGGGTAAGCTAAACTGGAAAGACTTCACGGAAACATCGGAATTATCAGATCTTTCCTGAACAATGTTTCCTATGTTGAACCGTTCGAGGGGCGTATGACTTGAGAAATAAATTAATCTCACGGGCACCTTAAAAACCCTAATAAATCCCTGGAAATCCATAATATGAAATTCCTAAGAATCTCTTAAAGCCTTAAAAGTCTCCAAAAATATATCCCCTAAAAATAACGAAATGGCACCGGAATTTTGAATCTCTGCAGCCCACATATTTCCAACATTCGATTCTCATTCAATTCAGCATTAAATTTATCCTATGTTTCAGGGGATTCGCACACTATGCAAAATTATACTATGAAGCACTTAATGTTTATACATTAATTTAAACTTACCTGCAGTTCCTTGTCCATCGTTTCCTTTGGGATTGGTATTTGATCCTTGGAAAAAAGAGATGGTTAGTATGGTTAGTTCTAAGCCAATTGTACATCAAATTGCATTTTTGGTTGCAAATAAGAGACAATTCCATATTGGCGCCTATAAAACAAGTTCAAAGTTGGTCTTGCTATGAATCAAGATATTTAGCGTCGCTATTGATGGAAATGTTAATTCCATAGATGGAATGTGGCATAATCGTCCTCACATTCCCTGCAGCAATTAATTAAATGGGCGTGGGAATATATTTGGAGCAACACAGTTTACTCGACGAGCCAACATGAGGAGTTGAGTTGGGATGACTTAACCCGCCCCCTCACACCCACATGCACACAAAACCCCAATTTATATGTTAAAAGAAGGCCTGCAATTTGGCTACTGACGTGCTGACGTAGGGCCTTTGCTGAAGGAATTAAAGATATCAAGTAGTGCACACCACGTGCTATGGAAGTCGCTGACAGCCATAAACGTAAACGTCTCAATATTTTTGAACAACTGGAGGAAATTTAACGTCTGCATACCTTCGGCAGCGAATTGAGTCAAGTGTCATCCATAAATTATACAATGGGCTGCAGAGCAAGACAAACTCTTGCAAATATCTACTTTATTTTTCGTCCAAATTGAACCAAAGTTTAATCTATTTGTCCTTGGCATATTACCATCAGCCCTGCAACTTTTCGTATCAATACTGTTCAAGTTGATATTTGTTTTAGTTAATTGGGCTAACAGAGAAACCAAAAGACCAACATAAGCACACACACATCCAAAACCCAGGTGAAATCAAAACCTCCTAGCGGAGGCAATAACCCCAATCACTCACCGGTCCACTGGATATGCACAAGACTCGTGCTTTTAATGTTTAATCGTTTCGGGATAAAGTCGTACTCCACTGCTGGATAAACTTGCACTATATTCCCGCGCTTTCCTCGGACGTTCAGATTATGAATGATGGCGTGATCGGACACGGATTTAGGCCTGGGTACCAGCTTGAATAAATGAGAGCGATCTTGGAAGGTACGTCCAAATTGAGCTGTGTTTATGGCAAGTTGTAAAGGTAGCTGAACATAACCAACTTTTACTTTAGGATTATTTTGGACTGGAGAAAATACGCCGTTGTTCCTAGACAATAAACAATGGTTTCCGTCGGAAGAATGCTGGGCTTCCTAGCGCGATTTTATCATTCTGATGAATGTGAGCGAGTAGACGAGTTATGAATGTTCTCAGTATATCAGTGAAATTAATTAATATAACTGGAATGCTACGTCCAACAGGTTATTTGAAGCCAGACTTCATGGCCAGTCCCATTCTTTTCACGCATGCGAAGAGCGCGGTCAATCCGTCAACACTATGAATATGACTTCTTGAAAACCAGCTTAAAATTTACAAAAAAGCTTTTTAACAGAGCTCAAAGCTTGCTATATTAATCCATATTTTCAGGTAAACTTCATAGTAGACTTTACTTTTAGTTTTTTTTCTTCTTATTTTTGTTCTAATAATTGTTTACGCGAGAGAATCGCGAGGCATAAACACTTGACTTCAAGAAAATGATATAGCTAGTTTATCTGAACGGGTGGCGTTCCAGTTACTGGTGTATATGTACCCCCATCTGAGCATTCATAACGTACTCATCCACTCGTTCACATCCATCAGAAGAAGAAAATCGCATCTGTAAACCAGTATTACCGTCGTCTGTTCTTGAGCGAAACTTTCATGTTTGTCAATTTGACAGGTTGTAATCTGATATTCTGGCCTGAAACTGATTTGGCTAATGATCTAATTAATGATCACCATTGTCACAGTAGACAATGGTTTTATTTGCGAAGTGGTTTCTATTTTGAAACTCAGAAGTTTTAAAGCATAGAAATACTTACGGGTCATTATTTTCATCACTGAATGTGTTAAATGGTGGATAATCTCCAGTAGAAATGTTGTACCTGTACAAAAACATATTAGGCTACCATTATTACGCATTACTTCGTCCTATATCCCCGTCTGCTGGCCTACAAATAATTACTAAACAGCAGTTATTCACCGAAGTGCCGGTGAATAGTGCAAGGATATCCGGCGCTGAGCAACCTAATCACCTCTCGAATATATGCTAATTTGTTTTAGCATGGTCAGTTAGAGGGTGATTTTGTAATTGTAATTAAGAGGTCACTATTGTAATTGAGGATAAATTACTGTATTTTGCAGCAAGTATATTAATTTTATAATTGTAATTAATTCCTTTTTGGTCAGTATTATAATTTTGCAGCTTTGGCTTTTTGTAAGGTTATTTTCGTGGTTGTTTTAGCATTTATTACAGTATTCAAATTACTTAGTGCTCATTTCTTCAGCTAAAAATGAGATTGCGTTGTCTTTCAATGGCCAGAAATGCGGGACATGCGCCTGCCTTGTACAGCGGCTACTTGACGGGTGCTTGATTTAACTAATTGGCTCTAATTTAATTAAGCAAAGCGAAGTCAGACAGAAATCTTGCTCAAATTATTCAAATGATATTGTTTTTTCACACGCAGTTATATAGTTCGCATATTCACTGAGACATTTATTCAGGCTATGGCTCTCATTCGTGCGTAAATTACAACTAAGATGTGATAAAACTCTAATGTTTCTTAGTATTTATATTGCGCAAAATAGCATAATTGTAATATGATCTAATGCGCTTAGTAAGTAGGGAGCTCGGGATACTTTGCCGTATATATGTGGTCAAATACAGCACATTCTCCCCTCTGGATACATAGATTTCCCCCCCTTCTGTCCTATCAAAGCCTGGTTCTTGAGCTTCTTGTTGATACTAGCCTGCTCGCAGCCCGAAATTAAATCCATTTAATATCTGTCGTCACCATACGGCACTCTCTACATCCGATATCCTGAGGGCACATGTCGTACCCAGACTGCGCGCGGCTCCTATGATATTAACCTTGGTTACTATGTAACATAAAATTAAATCGCAACAAATTCGGGCTGCGAGTAGGCTAGTTGATACCAAATATGGCGCAATATATTCAAAATAAAACATGGCTTGGAAGCGTTTTTTAATAGACATCGATATAAACCTCGCGTATATTGCGTCGTGTCTATAAGTTATTTTCGTGATTTTCAACGTTGATTTTCAACTTTTATGGTTTAATTTTAAGTTTTTAGTTTTATAGTTTAATTTTCGTGATTTTCAACGGAACCGGCTAACGGGGATGGATCACTATGAAAATTACAGAAGTAATATTTGATAATGTGTTGTGTTTGAAGAGAAAGCAGCAAGTTGCACCAGAAAATACGGCCGACCACAAATGGACGCTAAATGTGCTCGTTCACGTGGAAATGGGGCAATAATATACATAGCACTATAGCCAGATCACAGTGGAATCGCATTAGTGTGGGAACCTTACGGTAGGACTACGGCATGAAACGTAATTTGTTTGACTACCGAAGTGTTTTTCGTTCCCAACGAAGGGCGGCAATTGATATAGCTGTTACTGAACTCATTCAAATTTGAATTATATTACACTACCCATACATTTTACTATAGTATGTCCGCCATCTTTGTTAACTAAATTCCGAGGATGCGCAGTTCAAATGTCCCTCATTTCTGGCAATGTGAGTCTAAATCAGTTATAGTGGCAATCTCACTTACCTTATTCGTAAGACGCATCTCTGGGCGTGTCCAGATGGGAAATGTGGCAGAACCCAAGTGTAGTTGAGAGGAACCACATCGTGAGCATTTCCTAAATGATTTGACCTCGTATATGGTGCTTTCTTGCATTCTGGTGGATCAAGTGCAACCAAGCATCGTTTCAATGATCTCACTTGACTATCAGTCATTTTTAAATTATCAATATCTTCAGAGCGGTAAGGAATGGCCCAGATAAGACGAAGTATACTAGAACTTCCCGCTTTACATTCTTCTTCAGTTTGATACTTGGGGTATTCTTCTAAATAGTTGCTGAATGATACCCAGAAGCCTTGGTCTTTTTCGCAGTCAATTTTGTTGTTGTGAACTGAGTCATGGCGGAAACCGTCTGAACTCGGATGGTAGTATTGAAGACATTCCCCTGAGAACAAAGAAACATAACATATAGTTTTATCAAAAATACACTTCATAGTTTGTCTAAAAAATTCATTGGTTGGCAGATAGCGGCTGCATATGAGGCAATATCCAGTGCAAGGATAGGAACTGCGAAGTTGTGTGCATGATGCAACTACCTGTCTTTGCTACTATACCAGTTAAAACCCGCATAAAAGAACCATTATTTTTATGTTAAGCTGAAGTGGTTCTTATATAATAGGTATACTTAATGAGAAATTAGGCTGAGTAGGCTGGTTCTTATTCCCAAGCAGTGAAACAGTTATTGCTGAATTTGTAGTGCTTCAAATAACTTGTTTCCCTAATTAGTGAGCTGTTTAATAGTATATATACAACTAATAGCTTCTAATAGCTTTACAAAAGTCTCCGAATTTCGTAAAATTTAACCTCGTTCAATGCTAAAAAACAGATTATTCTTCATTGCATTGTTATGCCTTATTTGAAAGTCATACTGTAGCTGGGCTTTAATATTTATCTTCAAATTGCAACAGATTAAATCATGCATATATACCCGCTAATATACCTGCTCTTAGAACATGCATTGTAAAAGTTTTAAGAACCAATTTGTCAGCCATGAAGTGTTTTTTGTATTTTGGGCTGTAATTGCCTAAATTTCAGGCTGGTCATCTTAACCCAGTGATTGTTTTATGTGGGTTTTACCGAAACTTCCAGACGAAAGACCTTCGCTTCAGTGAAACGTCGACGTCAGTTGATTATATTTTTCAGATAGTTGCATCATAAACACAAGTTCAGAGGTTGTATTTTGCACTGGTACCCAACATTCAAGAGTAAGGATAGTAATTCTATTGTTCTAGGACTTACCTTTAGTTTTCACGTTAAAACTTTCACTCTGATAATATTCGCACATGGTTTTATTATGAGCGAACACAGCAATGTCAATCCAGTCAGTGGGATGCCAGTAAGGGTAGTAATCTCGTTCCTCGGGACATTCGTAGCCTCTGCGAGCGCCATTTTGATTTTGACGGGTGTAAATACTTGACTGACCATTCAGTTTCTGATCGGCCGTGAATAGTCCTTCAAAGGAAAGGAAAATTCTCAATAAAATTGTGAGGTATTGTTTTTTTTCTTGTGCATATGCTGTATGTATACTCCAATTGTGAAAAACATCAGCCTACGGATCGAGTTACTGTGTTTGACGTTAGAAAGAGAGAAATAATTAAGCTGGGCGCATTGCAGCTCATTGGAGCTCATTGGAGTTAACAAGACCCATTGGCAGATAGTTTAACCGATTATAAGATGCAAAACTCTCCTCTTGACAAGTAAAATCGTCTGGCGTTAGACAGAGTAAAATAATTAAGATATATAGGGCACATTATACACACGTTGCAGCTGAATGGGTTAATTTAAAACTAAAAAGCTTTTAGTTTTATAACTGGATGATATTCATTCATTTTGCGCTGCTATATAAATTATAGGTTATAACTGACCTTTATTACGATTTCTTTTGTTGCATTTATCATACCATTCCCAAGATTCGTGAAGTCCTCTGGTATAACTAGATGAGTCATGATGCAATCGTGAGTTCTTGCTTGAGCGACGAGTGTAGGTATTCTTGTGATATTGCGGAGTGTGCGTATAACGTCCTATCAAAACGAGTACGTATCAATACTTATTAGTAATTAACTTTTAACTAGCTACTTATTATATTTATTGTCGGTAGTTTATTCGTGCTAAACAGCGCAATATTAATATAGTAAACAGTCATCATTATTTTTACTACAAATGTCAGAATTTTTGGCATCTTGCTCGATTGAACTACAGTTGAAGGGTTATGTAGATGGAACTGATTTACTTCATTTGTACATCTAAGCAACTCAGCTACAGACTCTAGCTGTCGAGTTATAAGCAAAATACTAGATTCCCCTTATTACGTTCTCGTAGCGCTTTGCATTGCGGTTATAGTGGTATCACTGATATTCAAGATGGTTTATTTTTTGTCTTGACCCGTGCAAGAACTTTTGAAAAAAACTAGGGTCAGTTGCGCGACAGCCAACAGCAAAATATTCGCGAAAGCATTCAATATTTTCATTCGAGGCCGCTATCTTTATCAGTAGGTTCAATTCCTGCCTGAGGACCTTGTGATATCACTATAACCACAATGCAAAGCGCTACGAAAACGTAATAAGGGAAATAATAAATTATGATACATTCTCACATTAATATATTTTTATAATAAGCATGCAATGTAGTTTTCATCAATTTAAAGAATCCTTTCATTTTGCCATCACAATACACACACGGGTGGAGTGTGGGAATGGGAGGGAAGACGGCTGAAACCGCCTTAGTAAAATTCCATTTCGATTTAGATGGGTTCTGAGGGACCGTTCATGTTTTATCAGGAGGAGGGGGCTGGTGGTATTTGGTGCTTTCATTAATAATTTCGTCTCGACCCCCCAACATATGCAGCAAAGTTTCCTGTGGCAATCTTTGTACTCCAAGTTTTTCCCCATGATGCCCCTACATGCATGACCTTGGTATGGTCTTGGACATTTGGTCATGGTAGGCCCTATCCAAGCATCACAAGATAAGCAATCGTAAAGCAATATATTTGAATATTTCATTTTATATTAGGACAAAACTTCATCTTCATTGTCTTTTTGGCTGTTTAATAAAGTTACCGGAAGTGACAATTTTGTGCACATTTGCCAAAAGAAACAAAATAAAACTGATTTGCCAGCCTTAATACGCAATGTCAGGTCCAGTAGCTTTTAAGAAACAGCCATGAAGATGAAACTTTTTTCTAAGAAAATAAATTGCGTTTTAGAATGCACTGAATATCACAAATATGTAAAGTTCCTAATTTTTTCCAGGTGTGCTTTAAATTTAAATTGACTACTGCTGACTAGATTCATGTACTAAAACTTTACTTTGAGTTTTTATAAATGAAAGAGTATGAAAGTTGACTGCTTTGATTTTTATGTATTATGTATTCATTGATGTTTTGGTGGCACTCTCAAAATTTAATTTTCCTGAGATGACCCCGTTCTCACATCGCTATTTTTTCTGGTGGTCCCCCTGCAAACACCACCAGCCACCTCCTCCTCCTGATAAAAAATGAACTCTCATATATTTTTGCAGATTGCATAATCATAACTTGGAAGTTTTTCGCGGCTGTATAGTGCATGCTATGATTCTAAACAACAATGATTTTAGTAATATCTGCCCCGATTGGTACTTTGATCCTATATAATTCGTGTAGCTTTAGAATTCAATAACATCACTATATCCAGTATCTTTAATGTCAAGTTAAAACCTTTCTTCATTTAAAAAAAACAGTAATTGGAGAACTTCTAACTTCAAAAACAAATACGGGAATTTCCAATGCTTATCATGTTGTAAGTTGCAACCCCTATATATATGCGTTGTCACCCCCCCCCCCTATGTACATTGAGGTTGGTGTTGCATGTATCTATTTACCATTCCTTATTGAGTGATAATTCAACGTTTGATGTTTCGTATCATCTTGACATCGGTATTGAAGAATAATGTTACAATTTAAATCTCGATCACCGCAGCCATGTTGATTGGTCCATTCAAGTGTGAGCAGAGATTTTCCTGTCGGACCTGAAGAATTACTTGAATGGTGTTTGCCACTCTGGAAATAATGCTGAAAGAAAAAATAGCATAACTTCTGGCTGGCTGGTAATTATAGAACTTCTTACTACAATTACACTGTCCACCTCAATTGGAAACTATTGTTTCGTGTGCACGTACAGAAGCGATTTTGGGAAGTACCTAATAATTTGATTCTTCATGTCACCAGAATCGACCTCCATTAGATGCGCCATCCCTCCCTCTCCCTCCCCTCACCCCCAAAAACAATTTACTTCCGATGGCATTGAATAATACTTATTTCTTATTCCCAGCCATAATAAATTTTCACAAAATATCTAAGATATGCAGCTATTGCAGAGTTGTGCATTCAAATCATGCTTTGAAATGACTGATGTTGCAGAAAAGCTCATGAAAAAAAACATGAACGAACATTTCGTGCCTGCTGAAAATACAACAGCGCGCTCTTATTAAAACAATAGCCAAAAGTTCCTGACTTTCTGACGTACCATGTTAAACTGTGTGTCCTCGGTGCTTGATGCTTGATTTTTGTCTCCAACGTTGTAACCTCCATTGTTGTTGTTCTAGACAAGAATATAAACAGATAGGTAGATAAAACTTTATTTCATGACGCTGAACTTGCTAAATTTCGAACACTGGTTTTGGGTAACGTAAAACATAATATTAAGAAATTACACGTTTCCCCCACCCCGCTCCACAAAGTCTTCGCTACGTCCCTTCTAACTTCATCAAGCGATTGATTTCGATAAAGGGTGTCAGTTATTCATTACTGTACAAATTACATATATACAAAACTACACGAACAATAACGAGAACCAAATGAATTTTAGTACAAAAAGTAAACGGTATAAAACATTCAGATCATGCAGTAGCCTAGTTTACATTTGGAGCGACCAAGAACACTATTTTCTAAATCTTTTCCATTACCAATTACTTCGACAAAACGCATTAAACCACCCATAAAACAAAATGCTGCATGTTAATCTTATCTTTTATGATTAGGAAGTCTGGAAATACAACCAAGTTTAGACGGCGCTAGTTACTGCACAAGACCGGTTTAACTGATTTAGACATCGTACTTATTAATTGTGCCGTATATACGTCAGTACAGGGGGCCTTCGCTCGAAACGTCGAAATTTAATACCTTGTATTTTTCAGGTACTTGAATCCTTACCCATGCATCTTCAGTTCTCTGGTGTTTTTGCCACTACCTATACGCTGCCACAGACCGTTCGGGCTTGCCGAATTTATAATTGATTTAGACGCCGCTCCACTGTACGCCGTACGAATTTGGTCAATTATTCGACGCATGCAACTTCGTCGTCCAAACCCGCAAACCGGGCCTAAGCTCAACGCGGACGAAAGTTGATAAGAGTTGCCAATTACGCATTATTTCGAGGCGCATTTCAAGTTCCATGCAGATTAACAAAATAATAAAGGTTTGATGAGCGTTCCAACTATCATTTAACTTTAAATAGAATACATGATGGTGTTGGAAAAGCATTAAGAACAGCAAACCAAGGTCGCGTGACTGCCCACTCTTATGCACTCTCATCCTATAGTTTGATCCGGGATTAAGATTTGAAACTAACCTGAGAGTCGAACATTCTGTTGGCATTTGTTCGAGCAGTACTGGCTTCATTCAAACGATTGTTAGAACCTCTGAGATTGTGGAGATACACATCAGCATCAGTCAAGCTGACTATAAGCAACAGCCCAGCTAGTGCAGGAATACACAACTTCATGATGCAAGCTGTATGTCTTGGGTACTCAGTATAGAACACCCAGTTGCAACTGTCCCAAAGTGGGATGGGTGTTCCTCTTTTATGATAACACGCAACCGAGCAACTCTGTCAATATTATATTTTATGTGGGCGACATTGTCATGCATTGCATGTCTATACATGTCGTTTATTCGTTATTAATGTGTACACGTTATTTTATATTTCATCAACTTAATTCTGAAATGGTAATTTAAGCCCAATTCTTATTCAGTTACGTCTGTACATAGAATTAACGCGTCATTTAGTATATACAGCTAATTCGAGAAAGGCTGTCCTTCGAAACTCTAAACTTTTTAAGTTTAAGGCTTAAAATCCTTTAACCTTAACGATCTAAGCGCGAAAAGGGCAATGTGAACACGCCAGTGTTTTTCATATTTAGTCAGAAAGATTTAAATGTCATAATCCTTGTGCATTTATCCAAACTATACGATGGAGAGCGTTCCCATTGCACTTTTCGCGCTTTCAGTTTAAAGGTCTGAGGTCTAAGGTTTTACAAGTCAGAAAATAAGATGCAGCCATGCACCTTTCATATAATTATTGTGCTTATTTTAACTACTATTTACATAAAAATAATTAAAAAATTTTGAAGAAGACAGCTGAGCAAGCTAATCAATTACGCTATAGAGCCTAGATTCATTCAAGCATTCGGCTTATTGCTCCGTTTCTAACATGCGAATGTCTATACAATTATTCAGAAGTAATCGATTTGCGATATATCTATTTTAATAGCACAGTGAGAAATATAAAAACTTACAGTATGTTATAGGTATATTATAGGCATATAGTGATTACATTAAATTACGTCGATACTTGTGGTCGGTCATGGGGTTTTGGTATTTAATCGATTTTTCTGTTAGCTAGCCTATAATTCAGATAATTATATATACATGCTGTACTATTAGTATTTACATCGAAATTATAGGTATTTAATTGGTTTATTTAGATTTTGTAAATCAAATCTGGTATAAAGTTTTTTGTGTAGATATTTTCATTGATTTTCTTTGGTATTTAATATTTGGGATGCTACTAATCATTATAGTAGGCTACAAATGCTGAACTTTATTTTACAAATCCCACAAATCTCCATGCTCTCTAGTAACTTATTTTTCGCAACTATTTATATATATAGGCCGGATGTTACAACTCACACAGACACAGAGACAGAGATAATATACTGTGCAACGTTCACAATGTTTGTAGTGAAGATTTATGGCTGTATATTTACTAAGACCGTGGGATTAAGCCATGCATGTGACAGGTTATATACAGTGAGAGGAATGTTATTATTCCGTCATACTCGGTCTAGCTTAAAAGTATATATTATAACTTATAAGAACGTAATTGTTTTTAACATCTATTCAGGTTGGGCCTCTTTTAAGAATTCATTAGTTGAGGGGCCACCAAGAAAAAGGAACCCAACTATAGGAGGTGGTGAACCGGAAAACTGGGAACTTGCTGGGGTGGATGGCAGTCCACTTCACATATTTTTATGTGAGTGGGGCTTAATTTTTGCGGCTTTTCTAGACACAATTTTTTATATATTTCTCAATTATTCTTCTCTTTTTTGCTTATATTTTGGACAGAAGGGTCCTTCACTGGGGAGGGGAAAATATAACAAAACCTTGGAGTTAAGTCCCCCCAGACCAAGGACATGGTATGATTAAAAGAGCGGGCCCTTCGGCTATATCTAACCGCGATTAGATGACTCAAATTGTGACATTCAACTATTCCGAATTTTAATCAATGTTCGGAAATATGAGGAAAATCATCATTGGATGTTTATTATTATCAGTGATATCATTTTTTTCAAGAATTACTAGAGAGTAGCAGAGCCCCTTTTAACAGGGGGGGCGGGGGGGGCACAATTCTTCCAGCATCAAGCCCCCATGTTTCTCCTTCGCCTATAGGCCCTAAACTGTACAACTGTACAATAACATACTAAACAGTTTTTTATATCGTCTTCTTTCACCATTAGTTACCATTTTGGTGTATTTACTCCCAACTTGGCAAATCGTCATTTAAATTGTGCACGCTATTAACCGTATTCAGCGATCCTAAAAATTTCATTCTAGCCATTTTTAATTAAAACGTATTGCCGAAATGTTTGACATTTTGTTTGTACAAATGGAACATGTGCGAGCATGCCGTCCAGATCTGCGTAAACATTTACTAAAAGAAGTTATGTATGAGACAATACATTATGCACACCAATCTACATATAGGGTGTCCGGCAAAATATACAATATTATAGCTGTGTTAGTGGGCATCGAAAATTCAATCTAAGAGTAAGACGTGAATTTTTACACAAAGATTATTAAAATTGCTCTAATAGAACCAAATAATGTTAATGACTGTTTAAAATAAAGTCTGCTTCATCAAATGGACCACTGAAATCAGGTATATGAATGAGTTGTACGTATTCAACTATAATACTAGAGCAATTGCAATTTCAGTATATATTCTTTGTGTCAAAACTCGTCTTAAAGATTGAATTTTTATGCCTATATTAATTAATATTAGCTGTGACAATCAGGCTGTGTAAAATTAAATTACTGAACACAGCTGTTGCATCAGTTTTGAGGGACTCCCGAATACTACACATTCATGTATCATCTCTCTCACTTAAACAGTGTAGCAAAACATGGTGCACATAGCCGAAGGAATATCTACATTTTGCTTGACCTTGGGAATATAATGTTTTCTTCCACTAATTAAACTCAATAAACTTAGTATCGGCAAAAATTGTCAGTAGGCCCCCGTAGTAGTCATGTGCAGGGAATACAACATGCAAAGTGCGGTTCGAAGAAGTGCTTGGAGTTGTACCAGTTTGATCTACGTACAGTGGATCAAAGTTCATATGATTTTTAAACATTTAAAAATGAAGATGCATCGATGGGCATGCCTTCGTTAACTTAGTCGTTTCCGTTTTAAGTTGACAGGGCCTCATTCTGTTGACGAGAGGATATTGGTTTGTTCAATATATTAATTTTTGTCTGCTTTAATACTTTGTTGAACTTGTAAATCGTTCATCGTGCATGATATATTATTTTTGTCACCCCATAATATAGGGAGAACAAGGCATTTAAAGAGTGTCAGTCGGGAATCAGTTGGTAACAGATCTTTGATTCTCTTAAGCAGACCCAATCTATGGCTTGTTTTCGAAACAATATTTTCGATATGGTCGCTCCACGACAAATCTTCATTGAAAAACACCCCAAGATATTTCAAAGAATTCACACGTCCGAGTGCCTGATTATTCACTTTTACGGAGATGCTGTTAAATGATTGTAGCCGTTTTTTACTTCCAAACGTAACAGAAGAAGGTTTGACTTTTCACAGTTTAGTGTCAGTAATCTGGACGAAAACCATTCCGCAACTGATTTCGTAATTGGAAAAGTTTCAACTTCATATTACTCATTAGCCGTTTTCGCTGAAACATAAGTCAAGGTATCGAAAATCGGCTGGCACTTACATGGTCTTTTCATATTTATATAAAATTGATCCGGATACTTTTTTTAGATATGACCGCTCCAAAAAGGTATTTACTATTTATTAAAGTTTTTTACTATCTTACTGCCAGGCAATCTCGTACCCAGAGCCATCGTTGAGTGGCTCTGGCCACACGGGATTGAAAAACGATCCTGATTGGTCGATCCATAAGTTATTGAACCCATACCCCCTGTGGCGTTCACGAGCGCGGCCAATATGAGTGAATACGATATATTTTGCTTTATTTGGCCTGAAAAGTTGCTTATTTTGACGAATTTTTTGTTGCTTTTCGTCCGAAAAAGTGGTGAAGGGATTAAGGAGTTGATTTATGCGTACTTGAATTCATTTGGGGAAAATAACAGCCTTCGTTATGATAATAATTCATACTCTTGGTTCACCCTGAGTGAGTATTGATGGGAATGATGGCATATGTCCTTGATCTACTATATTGGAGTGTTATTATTGAAAAGAAATTCAAGCGTACAAGACTTACAAGCATACACGTATGCTAGGACTGTATTTATACAAGATTTGGGATTTTTTAATTGAACTGTAAATGTATGAATCATCATGGTGTGAATGTAACAATTAAACAGCATTTGGATTCTTTTGCAACTTGTCAATTCGTTTGATAGAATTGTTTGATGATACAATATATTGTTTCTGTTTACAGTATTGCCTGTACAACTCTGTCAGAAACATTGGTGTTTATAGCAGCCCAAAAAGGTTTCATTAATTTAAAGGCCATGTAAAGTATGTAAAGTAAACAAACCCTTTGTTTACATTCTGAAGTCTGAACCCAGTGCTATAGTTGTAAAATATTAGATATGCATTATACTGAATTTTTAACTCTTCTGGTTTGCTATGTTTGTAAATGAATACAGACTAGAGATTCAATTCAAGAAAGTTTGGAAGGTGTGAAATATTACCATTGGAATGTAGGATTGCAGAACGCATGCGCAGAACAGACTTTACATGGTCTTTAATAATAGCAGTATGTACTATGTGCAGTATGTAATAATATGAAACCATCTACACAATTTATACAATGGTGCCAATAAAACTGGTAAATAAATTATTGTCAACTATTCGACAGTCTTGCTGTGCTGAGTGGTTATATAGTAATACTACCTGAAAAAAAAACAAGCAGAAACTCAACGTTGGCTACTAACTCTTGACGAAGGGCCTTCGCTTGAAACGTTGAATTTCTGCTTGTTTTTTTCAGGGAGTACTATATATAAATATAAGATGTTCATTCTTGTAATGGACAACTGAGTGTGCAACAATTAACAATTGTATTTGAAGTCCACTGCTCAACAAAAACAACTTTACTTTTTCAGAATAAGACTACTAAAACCAAATTTTAGGTTTATTAGTGAACTATCATATAACTTCATATACATCTTTAACAATTTCAGGACTGCTAAAAGTAGGGATGCAGCCATGCAGGCAAAAGCCTAGCTCAAAAGGGGCCTCCAAAGCACAAAGAGTTGTGTCAGTGCCAGATAATATGCAATAAAGTGTAATATATTGTAAAACACCTCTTCTCCCATTTAATAATTATGATGTCATAGGGACCCCTGGGAAAACTTAATGATGTCATATGGTTCCCCTGGTACCATAAAATGAATTGCAAGTTCTGAAAAACCTTTATTGATTTCAATAATGTGTCATTCTACACATCAGCCTATCAAGCAATACAAGCATGAAAGTATAAATGATATTACACTTATTCAAACAGGACATTGTTATTAGTCAGACCAGGTGTGATTCTTGATTCTTTAACCAGTAACTACTTTTTATCACATAATTAATGAGCAATGCACTTCTCCAACGATACTATTCCATTCTTGAGTATTTCATTATATTAGCACTCTTCATTATAATGCAACATGCCAAGTTGTTTACTGATCTAGAATACAGGACTGTATAATTTTAACTTGAGACTGATTTCTCCATTGCTTCTGGAGGTATTGACATAATAAAAAGATTATCACATTTGCAGTCCCAGGTGTATCTGAAAGAAATGTAAAACTAAAGCTATAAAATAGTCAAGTTAAGTAAAAATTAAACACACACTGGTATACTGCTACAGGCTTTTGCTTAATTGCTACAGCAGTACAGACCTTCCTTATTGAGAAAAAATCTTTATTTTATCATTGTATAAAGAATAGCATTATGGTTTTAAATTCCCTAGGTATGATAGATTCATAATAATGCATGTATAATAGTATTAAATAAATACTGGGTATGATCAGCTCACAGGATGCTATAGAATTTCTGAAAATCTGCTGCATTTTTAGGGGGTACACAATATATTTTGTGGTATTCTAACTAGACTACAATTAGGATGGAAATTCAGAGCCCAAGGTTCAAAAATTAACCTTGGAACAAAATAATGATGACATGAACAATATAAATTGTAACAAATTAAAGAATTATTAAAGGCAACAAAGGCAGTGTGCAACAAGCAACGTTCTTGCTCAAGAATAGCCTATTTAATAAAGCTGAGAGTTATTAAATTACTTTTATATAACAAATAATTAAACGTACTTATACCTTATAGAAGAAATCAGAACATTTTGAAGGAAATAGAAGCCATTTGAGACAAAATATTTGATCGATGACTCGATGAGTGTTGACATGTGTACAAGCCGATGTTTCAATCATCTCAAATTACTTGTTAAACGGAAATCACACGTGCACTCAGTATCCTTCGGTTCACACTAACTGCGCCGAACATATTTTAATGCTTTTGACGGGAAAAATTGCGATTTTATTGATATTTTCAGCAAAAAGTTAGCTCTCCACTCCTCTTGAAAATACTATGGCGCGCGCGAATTCCTGGAGAATGGGTACGAAATAGTTAATTGGAAAATACTGTACTTTTACCGTATTTTCTAATTAACTCAACTCGTGTGGCCAGAGCCACTCAACGATGGCTCTGGGTACGAGATTGACTGCCAGGTAGGTCCTAACAAGTTAGGGCCAATTACCTTGTACTGCATGAGCGCCATTATTATAATGTTTTTCATGGTTAATAATATTGTTCAAACAAAAGATTAGTGCTTTGTTCACAGTAAAGTCAACTATCATTCTATAAATATCAAGATTTTGTTGGCATCTCACTCGTTTGAATAATATTTGAAGGACATTGTAGATGCAAATTATCAAGTGGAAATTTATGTAGCTACATTCATTAGAAAGGCCTAACGCTACGGACTTGATCCAAGTCTAGCCTAACGCTAACCAGGAATAGCTGCAGCGAAAAATGCAACTTTAGGTTTTCGCAGCTTTTCCTAGTTTCTCAATGGATGTATACCAATATCTACTCGATTATTTCCATCTACAATACCCTTCAACTATTACGTATACTACTATTTGATTTTCAATTTTTTCACGTACGCATGATTTTTTTTCACCTGGGATTTTTTCCAAATATCGAAAGAATAATTTATGATGACATTCTAAAAATTGTAAATATACTGTTTTCTCTAGGGGGCAGCTGCCCCCTGCTTCCCTGCTGTGTATAGCTCTGCTCAACATAATGCTGCTACTGTTTCAATTCGTTAACAAGTCAATTGCTATATATTAAATAGTACAATTCTAATTTCAATCCCTACCCTATAATAATCTTAAGTCGGTTGTTCGAAAGTCGGTAACACGACCAGAAATTGCACAGAAAATGTCGCTGAGTATATTCATTGTTTAGTATCGTGAGCTACTGTAGGTCAATATTCAGTACATGTCAGCATGTGCAATAATATCATGCTCAGCTGAATTAAGATGATCTTAGGTGTCAATTTGTGACCGCAATTTCTGATCGTAACTTAATGTGATTCATCAGTAATTGTTCTGGAAATGAGAATTTGCTGAAACTTCCCAGGGGTGAAGTTTATGATATGCTCCGTAGTAAAAACGGAGAAAAAGTTGGGGGCCCGAACTCGTTTCAAAAATATGACAAGTGCAATATGCCACCTTTCCCCCCATATGGCGCCATCTTGACCCGTTTACGAGTTACAGGAACAATCGCAATTGCTCAACCGTTATTGAATTTTTTAACCAGGATTCTATACTAAAAATGTCTAATGGCAGAGGATACAAGGGTTAAACGTGCAACATGATGTGGTTTAGTGTTAGTTGTGCATGTCAGAATTCTGTCAGGTGTATTTCCAGAAGGTGTATTTCCAGAAGCACGCCTAATCAATGCAGAGTGTTTTTCTCTTTGCCATTACTCTCTCTTTATCACTTTACATTGCAGTTCGACTACATAAATTAGCTAGATTTTGTTATATTAGATATGCGCAGTAAAGGTGCGCAATGCAAAACTGATAAATCACCTTAATTAATCCCAGATTAGTAAATCTTCAAAGCAAATATTCCACTAACAACTTGTGAATTTTTCCAGAAACATATTTCCAGAAATCTTGTTTGCATTGATAACAATTAAATAAGTTATAAAACAAACCGAGGTGTAGAAATCAGTGGCGGCGCTAAGCCTTCTTCAATGGGGGAGGGGGTGAGTACGTATATATATATATAGTTTTGCTGAGTCATTAGCTTGGTCTGTATTAGCCTATGTACACGCGCACATTTACAATAAACTTTCGTTAGCATTCCATATACGCGGATTACGCAAAAGTCTTCACTTTGATAATAAAAACTGTCAGATATGTCGACTATTCTTGACTGTTTCTAACTACACAGAGTTTTTGGGGTGATCCAGGAGGAAATTTTGAAATGTAGAGTCTCTGAAATGGCATTTCCTCAGTTCTGGGGGAATATTTCAAATGACTGCTTCAACGATTGAAAGTGATCCTTACCTCCCATGCACAACAACTGTTTCCAGCTACGACCGCTGTCATTTGGATTTTTTAAATTACCTGCATGCTACGATATCTATTCACGGTTCACCTGACTTTTTGAAGTATTAAGTTTTGTATTTAAATTCATATATATATATATATATATATATATATATATATATATATATATATATATATATATATATATATATATATATATATATATATATATATATATATATCATGATCACGTTTGGTTTTAATTAAGATAATTCAATTCGATAATTCGGTGCACATCCAAACAGCTCAATTTTTTCCGAATGAATGCAACAATTTTGCCGACTAATTCTGACCTGTTATATTATGAGCGTTGCATTCGCATAAGCAATGTTTTAACATTTTTACTATTAAAATAGTCAATAATCATTAAAAAAGAGAGACTGAAAAAAATCGCGCAATGGAAAACAAAACTATGATTAAAGAACTTCGTGCAAAGAGGGAAAGCAAAGAAAACTGCCTTTAAAATTCCGCAAAAAAAGACTCCAGCGCAAGAAGACGGCCGAAAAAAATATTCGTGCAAATTGAAAATTCCCCACCCCCTCCCATCACTTTTCTAATGGTCCGCCCCTTATACGCTCTTGATAATTTGGGAGTTTTGAGTGACATTGGTGCTAGGAAATACTGAATGATACATTTTACAATGTAATATAAATGTCATTGATGTAATCGTATTTAGTCAGCTGGGGACTTTCTGGATAATTCTGTCAGTATAGCCAGTAGCCACAGCTGTATATATTTACCAAATTTATGTTTACATGGATTTTTTTAATTACGAAAACAAAGGTGACTAGTTTTAAGCAGAGTTTACTTCATAAAATCTTTGGATTGTATATAATTTCTAAGAAAGTAATATAGTTTTCTAACGGTCCGCTCCTTATTCGCTCCTGATAATTTAGGAGTTTTTAATGACATTGCATGGTACTAGGAAATAGATGATAAATGTTGGTATGTAATCCGGTGCAGCAGTCGTCAGAGCAGGCGCATTTCACCTCTGAGGTCATGGGTTCGATTCTCGCTAGGGACTCATGTGAACGGAGTCAGTCAGCGCTCTGTCGAAAGTCGTGGTTTTTCTGCGAGTTTTTTTTTTAGGTTAAACACAGTTAGGAAAGTAATTATATCCCAATTGTTGTAGAGATAAAATAGTCTAGGCTGAGTATGTAATTAGGTAAGGGTACAATACTTGATGTAAAGCGCATTTGATCATATCGACG